AGCACTGCAAGGAAAAAGTAAATTGCAAATATTTTAAATTTTAATGAAATTCACATCTAAAAACACTTCCAAGAAAATGAAAAAAAATACACTGAATCAATGAAAATATTTACAGATCATGTATCTGATAAAGGATTAATATTCAGAATGTATAAAGGACCCCCACAACCTAAAAATAACAGCAGCAACAACAAAACAAGTCAGGTTAAAAAGGGACAAAAGACTTGAGTAGACATTTCTCTAAAGAAGATATTACAAATGGCCAGTAAGCATATGAAGATATTTTTTGATATTACCAGTCATTAGGAAAATGCAAATCAAAACCACAAATGATATACATTGTCACACTTACTAGGATAACTATTCTAGAACAACAGAGTGAAGATTCCAACAGAATGGAAAAAAATTTTGCCAGCTACTCCTCAGACAAAGGACTAAGAGCTAGAATATATAAAAACTTCAAAAAATGTGACCCCCCCCAAATTTAAAGACCCAATCAAAAACTGAACATCTGAAATTAATAGGTACTTCTCAAATGAAGAAATGCAATTGGTCAGTAAATACATGAAAAAATGTTCAACATTGATGGTCATTCAAAAAAATGCAGTTTAAAACAATATTAAAATTCCATCTCACCCCAGAAAGAATGCCTATCATCAAGAAATCAACCAATAAAAAAATTCTGCCAAAGTTGTGGGGGAAAAAAGAAAGGAACCCTTCTTCATTGTTGGTGGGAATGTAAACTGATATAACCACTATGGAAATCAGTAGGGAGATTTCTCAAAAAACTGAAAATAGAAATTCCATTTGATCAAGTTCTTCCCCTTCTAGGTATTTTCCAAAAAGAGTTGAACACATTATATCACAGAGATGTGTGCATAACCATGTTTATAGCAGCACAATTCATAATAACTAAATCTTAAAAACAGCATATATGTCCATCAACAGATGAATAGAGAAAATGTAGTATTTATGCTCAATGGAGTACTACTCTGCCATAAAGAAGGATAAACTTGCATTTGTAGGAGAATGGATGTACCTTGACCATAATGTTAAGTGAAGTAAATCAGACATATCAGTTTAAACATCACATGGTTTCTTTTATATGAAAAACTTCATATATAAAGCATGAAATAAAAGACAGATAATAGGAAAAAAGAGAGAAAAAAGTTATTATATTCTAAGTATGTTGGTTTTTAGTTTTACTCCAATATGGCTTGAGAGCTTACTTTGCAGAATTTCCATTTCTTTGGATATATTAAGGTCTTTTTTGTGGCTGTGAATATGGTCTATTGGGTGAATATTTCTCATGATTTTGAAAGGACTATTTACTCTGCAGAGTTTGCATACAGTATAATGCTCCACTTGAGGCATGATGTTGCTGATTTTAACTGTACCATTGCCAGATTTTTCTACCTTCTTTAACTGAGGGAGGTGTTTTGAAGTTTTCAGTAATATTTATGCATCTGTGATTTTTCTTTGTTTCATGTTTTTGCCTTATGTAGTTAGGTGCTTTGTTTAGTGTAATATGTATTAAGAAATACTAGTTTTTGTTAGAGAACTGCCTTTTATATCATTATGTAATCACTGTAATCCTTGTTTAGTTTGAAGTACAAATTGAATAGTGTCAAATTAATATAGTTTCAGCATGTTTTGTTGAATCAGTACTAGACTAGTATGTCTGTTTGGATAACTTTCTACTGTATTTTTATGCTTACCTTACATTTGCTATATTTCAAAAATATTTGTATATCTTTTAATTGATAAATAAAAAGTTTTTTAAAACTCAGAAAATATGTTTGTGAAAATATAGTGAAATCAGAACCCATGTGCATTGTTTATGGGAACATAAAATGGTTCAATCATTGTGGAAATAAGTTGGAAGTTCCTCAAAAAATTAAACATAAAACTATATCATATGATCCAGCAGATACTCTTGGATATATATCCAAATGAATGGAAAACAGGGACTCAAATAGACACTTATACATCCATGTTCATAGCAGCATTCTGCACAAAGGCAAAATGTAGAAGCCATGAGAATGCCCATCAACAGATTAATGGGTAACTAAAATATGGGTGCTTGCTTCAGCAGTGTATACACTAAAATAGTAATGATACAGAGAAGAGTAGCATGGCCCCTGCATGAGGATGATACACAAATTCATAAAGCAGTCCATATTTTTTTTTTGTACCGGGGATCGAACACGGGTCCTTGTGCTTGTGCAGCAGGCAGCCGAAACCACTGAGCTAAATCCCTGGCCCAAGCATTCCATATTTTAAAATAGAATTTGAGGAGATTAAAAATTCTGTTGAAAGTATGGGTAGCAGAAGTGACAAATATAACAGTCTAAGAACTAGATAACAGGGCCAGGGATTTAGCTCAGCGGTTCTGTCGCTTGCCTTGCAAGTGCAAGGACCTGAGTTCAACCCCTGGTACCAAAAAAAAGAACTAGATAACAGAGCTGTTGAAGGTGACCAGATACCTTATAGACAATGAGAGAATATGAAAAATGAAAATGAAAAATGGATCCAGCAGCTACTAGATGATGCAAAGAAGACAAGATTAATTAGAATCAGTGAAAGATCAGAAGATAGCATAAATGAAATAAAAGCCTGTTTACTGAAATAATGGCCCAAAACTTTCAAAATAATGATAAAAGAATTTAGCACACAAATAAATGTGGCATATAAAATTCCAAATAGCCACGATCAGAAGAAACCTCTCCATCACACATCATAATCAAAATCTTGGAAGTTCAACCCAAGAACAGAATTTTAAAAGTGGTTAGAGAGAAGCAGTGACTCACTTATAAAGGAAAATTCATTAGAATTACAGCAGATTTCTGAACACAAACCTTAAAGGCCAAGAGATCTTGGAGTGCAGTGCTTCAACCCCTAAAAGAAAATACTTTCCAACCCAGGCTGACATATCCTGCAAAACTATCTTTCAAAACTGATGGAGAAGCAGGGCATGATGGTGCATGCTTGTAATCCCAGCACTTGGGAGGCTGAGGCAGGAGAATCGCCAAGAGTTTGAGGCCACCCTGGGCTCCATACTGAGTTCAAGGTAAGTCTAAACTACATAGCAAGACTCTGTCTCAAAAAAAAATAGAGAAATAAGATACTTTTATGATAAAGAGCACCTAAAGAAATTTGTAACCATGAAACCAGCACTCCAAAACATTTTCAAGGATACCCTACAAAGAGACCATGACAAAACTACCCGGGACTAACCATGACAAAAGCACTAATAGAATGAATACATCAGGTAGGGTGAGCAGGTAAATATAAGGGAAAGATAGGGAATCAACAAAGGGAAAATAAAGCAATGCCAGGAATAAGTCAATACCTGCCTGAGAGTAATGACTCTCAATGTGAATTATCTCAATTCCCCAATCAAAAGAGACAGACTGAGAGAATGGATCAAGAAACAAAATCCTTGCCTGCCTTACAGCATGAGGCCCTGAGTTCAATCCCTGGTACCACAAAAAAAAAAAGAAAGAAAGAAAAAGAAAGAAAAAAAAAGAAAAAGAAACAGAATCCAGTGGTATGCTGTATACAAGAAATACATTTAACTCAAAAAGAAACTTGTAGACTAAAAAGCAAAGGATGGAAAACAATATTCCATGTAACAAGAACCTGAAAAAAAGGAGGTATACTATCTTATATTTACACAAAGTGGACTTCAAACCAAAACTGATCAAAAGAGGCAAAGAAAGTCACTCCACATTGGTTAAGGGAACAATTCAACAGGAAGAGATAGCAATTATTAACATATATGCACCAAACAACAATGCACTCAACTTCGTAAAACAAGTACTACTGGACATAAAAGATCAGATAAACATAGTGTGGAACCCCAGTACCCTACTGTCACAAATAGATCAGCTAGAGAAAGCAATCAAAAAAGAAATATCAGAGGGCTGGGGATTTAGCTCAGTAGTTCTGCCACCTGCTTCACAAGTGCAAGGTCCTGAGTTCCATCCCTAGTACCAAAAAAAAAAAAAAAGAAAAAGAAAAAGAAAAAACAATACCAGAGTTGAACAAAACCTTTGAACAAATGGACTTAATAGAGGAATGACTATGGTTCAAATGGTATAAAAGTGAAAAAAATGAGCAGAATAGTTTTGAGAAACAGATGGCTTTAGTTAATTGATTTAAGCATGCATGATTAAGTTATTATATTAAATGTAAGTAGATATTTACATATTTTATGTATATTCCTAAATGTTTGTGTGTCCAGGACACTCTTGGGACCTTTACTCGGGAAACCTTATACTTGAGTTGCCTAACATGTTGAATACTGACTGGGGCCTGTGTGCCCATTCTTTCAGTCAGCCTGGGTTCAAGCCTTGCCCCAGATTTAGAGACATAGGTAGGGAAGGTGAGAGAAGTTAGGCACACAGAGAGTCCCCAGTGTACCAGGGACTATGCCTCAGTTTCTCAGCATTCGAGTAACTGTGTAAGTCAGCTTTCTGTCACTTTGATAAAATTCCTAAGACAATCAGTTGGAAGGAAGAAAATTTATTTTGACACACAGTTTCAGAGGTTCCAGTTCCTGGTCACTGATAGCCATCACTGTCGGCCTGTAGGCAGAACATTATGGTGAGGGGTACGTGGAAAAGCAGATCTGCTCAGATAGGGACCCAGAGAGGAAGGGACTGGAAAAAGATATATGCTTCAAATACATGCCCTGGTGATCTGACTCCTCCAACTAGGTCCCACCTCCTCACAGCCTATTCAGCAAATGAACTCATCAATGGCTTAGTCTATTTAATGAAGTTAGAGCCCTAGTATCTAATTACTTCCAAAAGCCCATCAGCTGGCAACCAAGCTTTCAACACAATGAGCCTTTTGAGGGACATTTTGGATTCCAACCATAACAGTAGTTTAGGAGCTACCCTTGCCTACATCTGATTGGGTGGCCCAGGCAGAGGGCCAGGACTACAAGGTTCTGCATTTTGGTCTGACCTCTCCAAACCTTGCCACTCCTGCAGATCTCAGAGATGGTTTTTGTGGCCATCTACACCTCTGAATTCTCCATGAAGGTCTATGTGGACCCTATCAACTACTGGAAGGATGGCTATAACCTGCTGGATGTGGTCATTATCATCATTATTTTCATCCCCTATGTGCTCCATGAGGTCAAGGGTAAACACTTCCGGTACCTCAACATCACTGATGGCATACAGTCCCTGCGCATCCTCAAACTTATCACCTATAGCCAAGCCATCAGAGTGAGTGGCCTGGGGGTGCCATGGTGCTGGGAGGGAAGGCCATAAAGCCCACTTGCCCGGGAAATGATGTTTGACTGCTATCTTTCTGTCAGTGAGTCCTACTGTGTGACAGGTTGATCCATATTGGTATTATCTCAACCAATCTTAAAACAATGGTAAGAAAGACATTATTACTCCATTTTACAGATGACTTAATTGAGGCCCAAGGTCACTTAGCAGTTAAATGTCAAGGCTGAGATTTGAAAGGTGTGTCTGACGGCAGAGGCCATCAGAACTTTTTCTCTCTCCCTGCTGCAGCATAATTGATGTCTAATGGTCCAGATCGCTTGTACTACATTCCTGGAAGTCTCCAGCTTTTGGGTGGCCTTGGCCATTCACTGCTTCTCCTAGTAGCTAATAGTTTGCTGCTCCTCTCTGTGGGAACAATTTCCTCACTTTGTTAAGGTAGCCCTGGAAGTACTGCTCCTACTGAGAAGTCTTCCTGGGTTGTTGAGGTCACAAACTGACCATCCTTGCCTTGGCTCAGAAGGTTCCAGAGCAAGACTCAGAGCTGACCCATTCTCAGCCAGGCCCATAGGTATGTATCCTGGACATAGTGTGTTTGCCCTGACCACTGTTATCCAAGAAGGGGCTGGTCTGGGCCTGTTTGTCCAGTCAGGGTGTGTTGCATGTTCTGTTGCTATCACCCCTAGCTCCAGTCCTGGAAATGTGAGAGAACCCCCAACTCCTGCTGCCACATACTCACAGTTACTCATTTCTTGCTGTCATGCAAATATTTGCGATTTCCTTGTCTTTCACAGTGTCCTAGCTTCTTCCCCTCTCTCCAGAGTAACTAGCCTCTCTGAGGTTAACAACATTCTCCTTGTCACCAAATCCAGTGACTATTTCCAGGTGACAGCAGGATGGGGTAGGGGAGGAAGTGGCAAGCCTGGGAGCAGAGATGTCAAGGTAGGAGAGAGAGTCAAAAGCTGGAAGTTTCTGCTTGCTCAGAAGCAGGGACTTTGCCCGTAAAGGGAGGGGGTCCAAGGACAAAGCAGAGTCCCCCTCCCCTATCTGAGGTGAGTGAGAGATTGGCAGCCTCTCTGGAGAAGGGACTTTCAGGTGAGGCCAGCAGAGAGGATACCATGGAATGAAGGTGCTGGACCCGTGGGAATCGTATGAGGAAAGGGGAAATGGTCTCTGGCCTAGGGGAGAGGAAGTCCAGAGCAGCTCAGGGAGGAGGAAAACAGGAAGGACTGGTGTCAGGAAGCGTTTCATCTTGGAAGGAATGTGTAGTGACCCTGCTTGGTACCACATGAGGCTGGGGACACTAACTGCCTCCCAAGGACACCAGTCTTGGCTGTGTTGTGGTAGCCTGGGTAGAAGGCAAAGGCCAGAAGGTGCCTGGGGCTGAGGCCCTGGCAGACAGACCATCCCTCTAGTCCTGAGAATCTTAGAGCTGTATCCCAGAGCAAGCCAGGACTTCTTGGTGACTTGAAGCTTCTGCCTAGCCTTTGGTCCTTATAGACAGAGACCTATGAACAAGTAGACACAATATGTATATAAACTTGTGTCCTAGGTTTGGTCTCAGAGGTTTTTTTTTATCACTAAGCAGAACCTTGTATCCTAAAGTGGTTCCCTGGGGATCACCAGCTGCCCTGGCTCTGGCTTTTCTATAGCCTTTGGGATGTCATGGGTCCTTGAGTCCCCAGGGACACAGAAGTGACCCTGGATTACATGCTCTGTGTGCACTGGCCTTGCTTTCTGGACAAGGGGAACTAGAGCTGCCAAAGACAGGGCCTGACACCTCTGTGCTGATTTGTGTTCATGGAAGTCTAAAGGAGCCCTAACAGAGCTGCAATCTCAGGCCCAGTGCTGGCATTCTGGCACATTCTTGGCTCTTGACCCCTGATTCATGAAAATGACACCCTGACTTCCACTAATAGCAATAAACCTGCTCCACAAGGAAACAGTACTTTGCTTTGGACATAGAGAAGTTCTGTTAGCCAGACACATACTATTAGCTGGGGCCACACTGCTTCTGTTCATCTATGTTCATCCTGGCCACAACCTTCAATGCTGGACTGTGAACACCAGCCTCCACCGCCTCCCTGGCTCCTCTTCTGTGGCCCCATCATTTTCCATAGGGGCTGTTTAGGAGGGTTTCCTCAGAGACCTGACCCTGGCCCCTTGGCATGTTTTGAGGTCCTTTTCCATTCCCAGAATGCCCCAGGGCCGAGAGGAGAGGCCAAAGGGGATGAACTAGGTGCTGGGAATTGCTTCTTCAAAGCATTTGGGAATTTAAAACTAGGCATCTACTTGGGGCCAGGCTGTAGATCTTGAAAGACCAGTATTTCTCTAGAGAAGGAGCTCCTGGCCAATGGGGGTCTGGACAGCCATCTTCTGGAACTGGTTTTCTGCACCTTTCTGAACTGTGCACTAATGGAACCTCCCTATGTGTGCTTGGAGAACCATGAACATCTGTGAGGACCCTACAGGCAAATGTGACCTCTCTCCCACTGCCACTCTCAAGGCTGCTCAGCTATGACCTCAGGTAGTACTGGCCCATGGGCTGGTCTGGAGTTGGGAGAGAGACCCAGCCCAACCTGCCCCCATCCCATCTGTATGTGCTTCAGGCTCTAACCTTGGCCTATACTCTTTCAGTTTGTGCAGACCTGAAATGAAAACTGTATCCCAATGCAGCTTTTCTCATGAGAGCTTACTGATTTAGTTTGACTAGTTCTTTCGAGAAAAGTTCTGTCTCTGTCTAGCAGGGAGAGAGGCTTTTTTTTTTTTTTTAACATCTCAGCTTTTCGAATTAATCTGAAAACAGATTAACTGATTTTCTTCCCCCAGGGGGATGAAGAAGGCATGGACATGCCTTCACCCCTGCAGGAAGCTGTCAAACCAGTCCACACATAGGGGAGCCTGGTCCTTTGGGGTTGTCCTATCTCCTGGAGTACCCAAACTATCCAGATTTTACTGTCTTGTGTCCAGACCCAAGTACCTGCTTTCTTAGTGCTAAGCTAGGAAAGTCTTGTTGTACTTAGGGTCACCAGTGGTTGGAGGTGGTGATGTGGGGCAAAGGGCTTGGGAACTAGTACCAGCTCTGCCATTGTTTTGTGGTATAACCTTGGCCCAGAGAGTTTGCTCTTCTGAGCCTCTGATCCCTCATCCTAGAAAACTGATAATCCCTACCTACCCTGAAGTTATACCTGTGAACTCATGCTGGGAAGGAGAACGTGTGGAGCCTCTACTGCATGCCAGACTTCAGGGCATGTGAATGAAAGAGGAGCTGTGCACTGTGGTCCCCTGGACTGGGTAACAAACAGGGGAGATGGGACAATTGTCCATTTCATGGGGGAAGACTGAGACCACAAGATGGGGACCTGCCTGCAAAGGTTGGGCCCAGGAGAAATGGGGAGCCACAGTTCTCTTGCCCTCTCCATTCTCACTCTCAGGGTGGCTCACCTCTTCCTCCTGCAAGGAGCATTCGGGGCTGGACCTCATCTGAGAAGTAGGATCAGGACATCCTGGGATGACCACAGTGCCAGGCTAGGTTCAAGCAGAGTAGTTGGTGATATTAAGAGGGATGCCACTCAGACCTGAGATGGTGTGGTCCATCTGGTCACAGGTAGCTGAGGGTGGATGCCAAACAGTAGTAAACCTCTGTTAGGTTGATGCAACCCTCAGCCTAGGTAGAGTTCTGATTCACTTCATTGATTCATTCAACTGACTCTTATATACCATGTGCCAGGTATGGCACCAAATGCTAAGGACAGCTGTGAACTGGGCAGATTGGACTTCTGTCTACTAAGCCCACTCAGCTAGGTACCCTGGCCTAGCTGTAATTTCCCTGCCTTGCAGACACTCATCACCGCCATGGGGCAGATAGTCTACATCGTGGCCTCTGTGCTCATCTTGTTCTTCATCCTGCTGTACATCTTCGCTATTTTGGGCTTCTACCTGTTTGGAGTTCTAGAGAGGGGTGACATGAATAACTGGGGGAGCCTGGATACTATTTTCTTCACCCTCTTCAGCTTGGCCACGGTACTGTGTTTGGGAAGAGTAGGGAAGGCAGGGATCTTCAGAAGGGACTGCCTGGGTGGTATGAACGTGTGGACATGTTGGGCCTCATGGGGCCTTACCCATGTTCATGTACTTAAATGTGCTGGGGGAAGTTGGGGGCTGGTGTCCTAGCACTAGTCAGAGGCTAGTGACCTGAAGAGGGATTCATCTCTCTCACTAATCTTATGATTCCTTAGACCATTTTCATATGTACCACAGAGTCATAAAACCTGTCAATGTGGATTAAGTTTAAGTTGTAAATGAAATCCCCATCACATAGCCTTTTTAGAAACAGGATATCACAAATCACCCATAATAAGCATGATATAGACGCAAGTCTAGACTCTGTTGGACTCTATAAAAGGGACTACATAGTGAGACCCTGTCTCTAAAAAAAATAATAATAATAATAAGTGGGCTCTTTTCAAAGTTGGGCTTGGCATGAGGCAGTGTCCTTTCAGGGAAAATGGGAGGCCTTAAGAGAAGAGACCTCAGAGTATGTTCTGACCCAACAATGCCCTTGCATTTCTAGGTCACCACAGACTGGGGAGATGTTGAAAGGCTGGTGTAGAGGTGGAGATAATCTAGTCCTCAGTGGGGCTGGGGGTCCCCTAGCATAGGTAAGACAGAATTCTACTCAGCTAGGCTTTGGCACTCAGTATACCCTACTCTGCCTGACCAGGTTGAAGGCTGGACAGATATGCAGACGCAGTTGGAAAAGCACAATTTTATTGTGAGCCGAGCATTCACCATCATTTTCATCTTGCTTGCCTCCTTCATATTCCTCAGTGTGTTCGTGGGTGTGATAATCATGCCAACCGAGGTAAGGCTGTGCTTGCAAGGAGAGGGGATCAGATCAGATATTGTAGGTGGTGGTGAGGACCAGGTTTCTGGGAGAACTCAGAGATGTCTTTCCCTCCTGAAGTGGAATGGAGGTGGTGAGACAGCCCCTTCCTGAACAAACCCAACCATTCTCCCTGAGTGCATGCATTTGTCTTGCCTCATGATGGTGGCTGATGAGACTCCATCATGGAGCTAAGGTGCTGTAGTAGCTTGAGTTAGGGGCTGGCCCTGTGTGGTGTGTACCCTCCTGCTGAGGGCCCATGCAGCAGGGCAAGGTGAGGCAGGAAGAAAGACCAGAGAGGGGAGAGTATGCATTGAGAGCCTGCCCCTGACCTCCACCTTTGATTAGGTCTCCCTCAAGAAGTTTGAGCAAGACCTGATGCTAGAGAAGCACATGGAGGAGAAGATGCAGATGATCCTGAAGCAACAACAGGAGGAGATGAACAGGTGGATGCCGATACAGGTAGGTAACCCCACAGGCAGGCAATGTACAGATAAGTCAGGGCTTAAGGAATGGCCAGAGGAGGGGCCTTGAGGCCCAGGTAGAAAGCAGGTGGCTTTGGACATCTGTGGCCTTAGGTAAGTGAGATACTTTTCTCCCTATATCTTCCAAAGTCAACCTTTTCTTTCTATAGTTTTGTGTTTCTCTGAACTGTTAGAAGTGGTGAGTGCTGTGATTATAATGTCCCCTCTTTTGTGGGCAGAGGTCTACTATAGGGACCTTTGGACCAGGAAGTGTATGCTAGAGCTTTTTACTGAGGGCTAGCAGCGCCAGGCAGCACAGCCCCAGGTCACTGGGTGGATGAAGACAAAGTGGCTTTTGCAAGTGGCCCTCAACCTTCATTTTCTCACACTTCTAAAACTGCAGCAAAAGGCAGGCGTGGTGGTGCTCGCCTGTAATCCCAGCACTTGGGAGGCTGAGGCAAGAAGATTGCTGCAAGTTTGAGGTCAGCCTGGGACACATAATGAGTTCAAGGATAGCCTGAACTACATAGTGAGGCCCTGTCTCAAAACAAAAACAAATAAACAACAACAAAAAACAGAGCAAGAGTGAGCATACCAGGTGGGTTTTCTTCTAAGCATGATACAATTGTGCCAGCTGGGGTCCCGCTTTGCTTTTCTGCCTAAGTGCTCTTGGTCCACTGGATGCCTTTCAGGTTCTTCATCTGTTGTTATGGTCCTCTTTGGTCTCTTTTCTGAAGATATCTGCTTATCTAGATTGTGCCCAAAAGGTATCCAGGGCTGGAGGAGGCTACACTGGGCCACATTAAAACTCTCTCTGGTTCCTCTGTGTGCCCCTGACCTCTATCAGTGATGGTGGCTTATGAGGCTACCTCATCTACAAGGGTCCAGGCTCAGAGGGATAAGGATGACGTTGTGACTAAGCTTAAAACTCATCCTGAGGCCAGGGACAGGTCTCTGCCTGGGGCCCGTGGTAGAGGGTCCCCAGATCTCTGTGCAGCTTGGTTGTTATTTTTCTGTCATTGTTCTCTTTTTTTGCTTCCCTCTCTAGAAAACTGAAACTGTTGACAAAAATCTCAGTGAGTTGATGGAGAACTTAAAGAAGAGCCGGCGGGACACTGACCCCATGGTCTTGAGTGATTTTGCCACTAGCCTGCTCTTCATTGACATATACTTGTCCATTTTGGACAAACAGGACACCACTGTCAAACAGTCAGTCCCTGCCCCAGGGCTTCCTTGAAGTTGGGCTACGTTACAGGCCCCAGTAGGGTGAAGGGTTGTTGACTGATATGGGGGGTAGGTGGGTAGACCAAGGCCCTCCGGGTTGTGTGTGTGTGTGTGTGTGTGTGAAGAGTTCCATGTATGCACCATGTATGTATAGGCTGTGCTGCTATATGGACAGGCCTGTGGCTTGGGGGAATCTGTTCCCCCTGTCCCTCTCTCCCCCTGCTTGACTTTGTCAGATGCCGGCTCATTCAACCTGTCAAGTCCCTCATTCTCCAGGGGGCAGAGAAACTGTACTGCATGGCACATCAGAAGCTGAGACTGGCCTGATTCTGCCACTACCTTCCTGTGTGTCCTTAGGCAAATCTCTACCCCTTTCCCACCTGTCACACAAGGAGTTGGTGAGCTGAATAAATGACAACAATATATGTGAAGCACTGAGCTGGCCTGGCCCAGGGTTTGTGCTCAGAATAAGCTAGCTGGGGTTATAAATGGCCATTACTAAGCTGGAAGGATGTAAAAACCCAGCAGAGGGGCTCTGGGAACTAGGGAGCCAGTGGGCTCTTGATCAAGGACACACATAGTTAGCCTGGCTTCTCAATGAAAGCCCCCTAAGGGGTTTCAGAGACTGGGGATACTAAAAAGGAAGAGGCCAAGGAATGCCTACTTTTGGCCCAAGAGTGGGCAAAGCACTACCTGGGGACTTGCACATAGTTCCTGTTCTTATAGCCCAGTGGCTCCTCTCCAACTTATTGAATGAAGTGAAGTAACTTACTCGTGGAGGCCCCCGGCAGATTGGAAGACCTGGCCTGGTTCTGAACTACTTGTTTGTCCCTGACTGCGTTCGTGCCAGGTGTGATGAGTGTGGAGGTGGAAGTAGGTGATGAGTTCAGCTAGGTAGGCATAAAGCCCACCCCATTCTCAGATCCCCTGCCTTTCTTTTCTGCTTTCCAGGCTTCAAGAGCTGTACTGTAAGACTATGCATATGTTGGGCCTGATGCTCAAAGATTTACCCCAGAAGAAGAAGTCTGAATCCTTAGAAAAGATCGATGAGAAGTAGATGGGCAAGAGTGGGAGCACCCAAGGCCTGGTGTCTTTACAGGCTGTAACAGTTACTATTAAATGCAGGATTTTGGAGCTGGCCTCTCTAGAGTTGCTGTGAATTTGGTACTTTCACCTTTGGGGGTTGGTCTGGATAGATACCCATGAAGTCCGATTCCCCAGAACCCCATGATGTAGCAGACCTAGGGAGTGGGGAAAGGAGGGTTAAGACTGGCCCTGGCCAGGAGCCACATGCAGGGACCACAGTGGCTCTAGCTTCCCTGGACCCAGCAGCAAGGGCCCATTGGATCCAGGAGGAGCTGCCTGAGGACCACAGGCAGAGAAAGAGCCCCATCAAAGAGGGCGACCTTGCTGATATGGGAGCCTCTGAGGGCTGATCTCTATGCGGGGCCCATCCCTGGCAGGGCTACAGCTCTGTATGCACTCACTGCTGTGCAGACTCCTTTGGAACCCTACTCTGATTTCTCCCAGGCTCACCCTGAGGTGTGACTGGCAGGAGTCTGTCATATGCACCTAGAGTTCAGCCTCGGTCACTGGCAATGTCAGGACAATTTGTACCTTGACCCAGAGGACGCCTTAGACTGCTTCCCTCCTGTGGCTAGTTAGGAGTCTTCACTTAAAGTGCAATTTTCTCCAACATTCTTATGGCCAAATGACCACCAGAGCTGCCAAGGCCCTGGCGTCACTTTGGCCCAGCCACATTAGAGCCATCTGAAGGTCCCAGTAAGGCAGAGCAGCTGGCACCCCTTGCCTCAGACTGGCTAGCTCAGAGCACTGGCAGTGCCTGTTCTTTTCTCATTTCTGGGTCATATGCCTGAGGTCTGTCCCCTTGGCAATGTCACCTCAGACAGAGGGTGGGTTCCGGGTAGAGCTAGGGAGGGGGACTGGCACCCACAGCTGGGTAAAGAAAGGCCCCAGACATACAATGAGTCAGATCAGCAAAAAATACATGGAGTAGACTGAGAGTGGCTGGAAAAAAGGGTCTTATGGTCAGGTCCTTGGGCTCCCAGCCTGGGGAACAGTACACTGAGGCAGGGACTGGCCAGGTAGGAAGGAACTTTCTTCATGGTTTTAGCCATGTATTTACTATCTGCTAAGCTGTGCTGGGTGCTGAGGGTTCAGTGACAAGAAAGCCATAGACCAGCCCTAGCTCACTTGGTACTCATAATTACATAGAGTCAGTACTCCAGCCAATGTCCCCAAGGAGGTGACAATTGTTTGAATGCAGAGAGCACCTTTCTTATAAGATATCTGAATCATTTCCGTTTGTTACTGTTCACATTGTCTGGGCCACAGTGAGAATGGGGGAAACATTTCCAAACAATTGCTTTTGAGTGTGAGATCCACTGCCATGCTATAGGATGCTCTCAGAGGGCACTGTGCCAGTGCCTGGGGGTGTCAGTTCCCTTTGTGGCAGGGAGAGAAGCTCAGGGCCATCTGCCTGAGGCTGACTCCAGACTAGAGCTTCCAAGGTATTCTGATGAGAGCAGCCCAGTAAGCAGGGCAGGCAGGGTGCAGGCAATGGCACCAGTTCAGGGCTGGAGTAAAGCAGATATTGTCAACTGCTCACACTAGGGATGCTAGAGAGCTCAGGGAACATTAAAACACACCTACCTGCTCCCACTGGGGACCCTGGGAATTTCCTTAGGCATCTAGAAGTGAATAAAAGATTTAAAAATTTGTCCCTGGTGGGCAAGGGAAAAGTACCATGGTTTTAATCAGAAACCTGAATTCCTTAATTGGGTGACTTTGGGCAAGGTGTCTGGTGGTTTTTTGTTAGTTAGTCTGTTTGTTTTTTGAGACAGGGTCTCTCTATGTAGCCCTGGCTGGCCTTGAACTGGTGGCAATCCTCCTGCCTCAGCCTCCCAAGTGTTAGGATTATAGGCATGTGTCACCACACCCAGCTGTGATTGACCTTTTGAAGCCTCAGATATTTCCTCTAAGGAATGGAATGATAAAACTGACCAGCTACAAGGATCAAACGGAATACATCTAAAGGTATGAGAAGGATGTTGTCAATTCATGATTGATACTTCCTGGCCATCAGCCTTGTACCTCTGTAAGGGACAACTGTGAAGGGCTGTGCTGATCAGGAACTAAGAAGGCCAACAGTAAGGTGGCAGAGAAGAAAGGCTAGAGCTGAGAGCAAAGCAGAGGTCATGGACCTGCAGAGGGAGTGTGAATGGGTCTCCAGATGGAGTGGGTTGAGAATGAACAGACAGCACATCACACCTGGAGACTTTGGTCCCAGGCTCAGTATGGTGGCCCTTAGCCACTGGGGTGCCGAGTGAGTAGGGAAGTCAACTCTAAGGGCATAAGAAGATTTTCAGAGAGCAGAAATTGGAAGGGAGTGACGTGCACAGGGCTGGCCCAGCACTGCCGGCAGAACCAATGGATATTTGGCATGAAGTCCCAAAGCAACATTCCCGTTTGGCTCTGTTAGCCTGCAGAACAAACACTGGCAGATTGGAATTCCTTCTTGGTCTGTCACCAACTCAAACAGACTTGGAGACCTTCAACTCATTTGCTTGGGGTAGAAGTAATTCTGCTTGCTCCAGCTTGGCTATGGAAAGCGGGAGCTCCTCCCTACTCCCCAGCCCTGGAACCCAGCAAAGCTGTCCCCAGTGGTGAGCTGATGGTTTAGAATTGCATGGGATGCAGGAGGCCTGACCCTGAATCTTCAGCTTGTGCTGAGTCCCTTCCTCAGCTCTTGTGGGAAAGACCCAGAATCAAAGGCTGGAAGCATTTGGAGAGTAATTTTCCTCTCTCCTCTCCTCTCCTCTCCTCTCCTCTCCTCTCCTCTCCTCTGCTCTCCTTTTCCCCCCTTCTGCTTATTGATTCCACCAGTAGGGAGCAGTCCCTATAGTGTGGAAGACCAGACAGTGACTGAGACGCAAGTTCTTCCTTTATTCCAACAGCTCCTAGAAACCTGATTCTGAGATATTGGAACTGCACATCCTGATGTCCTCAAATTCTGATGAGCTAGGATTCTCCTAAACCAAACTGGCTTTCAGCAGGTCAGGTTTTGCCTTCAGTGGTGTCTCTACCTATTTCAGCCTCTGCCCTTGGCCCAATGTCCTGCTCCGTCTCCTGCAAGCTCTTGAGAGAGAAGATGGTTGGAATTCTTAACCAGCCTCCTCAGAAAGAAGAGGTGATTGTGGCTGATTCTAGTCACAAGATAGATGGAAGGAGATAAATGTGATGAAGCAGGATTTACCAACACACAAGTATCCCGCTCTTCCCCGAAGATAATTTTCTCTGAGCTTGGTCAGCCCTGTGCTGCCCCTTCCCTGGGTCTTGTGTTGGGTTTCTTTGAGGCTTTGTGTAACGCCACACTGGGAGAAGGGTGCAACACAGAGCTGGAGAGAGAGCCAGGTGTTCTTGCTTCTTCAGCTCTTGGATTTTCTTCCATGTTGGGGAATCAGGATAACAGGCAAGGCAGAGAGAAAGCTGAGAGGCCAGTAGCTTGATGAGTCTGCCCAAGAAGGATCTGGGACAAGAGAGGGGAGAAGGCGGTTAGAGCTGGGAGACGGGGACTCCTGGACAGTGGCTCTGACGCAGCTGGCCTGAAAGACCTGGGATAGAGAAAAGGGGGGAATCTTAAGCATCCTGTGGGCTAAGAATTGGATCTCTGTTGATATTTTCTGAGAAAGGTAAGTAATGGTTGAAAATATTTAAACATTACTTTCAGTTGCTTTACTGGACCTTTTAAAATGGATCATGAAAAATAGATTATACCATGTGAAGTCTAGATATTATTCAGGTTACATAAAAGGTCTTTCCTGGGTGCTGGGGGGTTGTGGCTGAGTAGCAAAGCATGTGCCTATCATGCACGAGGCCTGGGGTTCCATCCCCAGCACTCCCTCCACCCTTATATAACAGGGAACTCTCAGGCTAAAACTTTAAAATGTTAAAAGAGCTTTACAAACCATGCACTGAGGCCCTCACTGGACCAGAGGCCTTTAGGTGATAATATCTGAAAGGGTGGTTGGCAACAAATGTGACTGACTTTTTGCAAAATGAATCTTAAGTCTCCAAAAGGAAGTGTAGAAGAGGCCAGAAGGAGATGAAAGCCTGCTGTAAAATGGGGAACTGAGGATTGATTGTGGCCTGTGTAGGTTTGGCTGTGGGACAGTGGGGTTCTCACAACAGAGGCACCCCCTGACCTGCAGTGCAGTATCCTGGGAGTGCCACTGCTCCTGACTCCTTCCTTTCCCAGGGCAACTTTAATGCCTGTGATCAGGGCCTGAGGTAAAAGACCTCTGCAGAATTTGATGCTGGGCCAGAGGAGGAGGAGCCCAAGTAGAGGTCTGGCCAGGACTCCACAAGTACAGCCTATTCTCTTTATTGACCATGGAAATACCACCATCTGTTTTGCCAGCATTTCCGTTTACCATATGCTTTCATGTATATGATTTCAATTGCATTAACAACACTTAAACAGGTATTTTCATATTCCCACTAAACAGGTGGCAAAACTGAGGTTGAAAGAGGTGATGTAATAAACCCAAAGTTGATGAATAAAAGGGGAGGAAGCAGAATTCCCAACCAAGTATGTCTAGCTCTTTAGCCACTCTGCTATAATGCCAAGCAACACTCTCCTGAAGAACTGTTATCCCCTTTTTATAGGTGGGCAAGCTGGCACTCAGAGAGGCTAACAGGGCCAAGATCAGCACTAAAGGGCAGAGTCAATGTTTGAACGCAGGCCACACACGTACCCTTCTGTTCTGCTGGCTCGTAGCAAACTTGTTCTTTCTTGTTAAAGCTACTTCTTGAAGTTTAAAAATCAAGTCATGATTCCCTACTAAGCAGGGCCTAACTTTGGGAGGAGGAAGGTCAGTTGTGCAAATGGGCCTTGGTTGGTCAGTTTCTTGGCAGCTCCTCACTGCCTGGTTAAGGCTCTGAAGTTTGCTGGCCCTTTTAAGTGAGCCTTAAAAGACTGAGAAGATGGCAGGAAGCAATCAGTGTGTGCAGAAAGGGTGGTGACTGTGGTGCCTAATCAGGAAATTACAGCCTGGGCAAAGAGAGGGTTTGGCTTAGACACCACCTTTCCCTGGGCTTCTGTACAGCAGGCCCACATGGGAGGCTTGGCTGCAGCCAAGGGGATGAACCAATCCCTACACGCACCGACTGCCCATTGGTGCAGTGGGAGCTGTAGCACTTGGAGGGGCACTTTGGGAGGATCTTTTGCAAAGTAAGTGGATTTCTGTCTGACCCTAGAGCTAGTGGAAAAAGAGAGAAGGAATTGCCAGATGGGAAAAGCCGGTTGGAGAAGTGTACATAAATGGCGCCATCTGTATTTAAAAAAACAAAAAGGAGAAATAAAACCACACACATAAAGTGGCAGGAAAACTCCCCCACTGCCTTTGAGATAACAAAGATGATGGACAAAACCTATTCTGGTCTGGGTCTGGAGAATGTCCATATTTGGCAAAGCAAATATATGTGGCCTTGTCATAAGGCAACATAAATTAGATTTTTCATATACATTTCTAGGGTCTCAAAGTTCCACTTCTTAAAATTAAGGAGCCAAAGACAAGTACACAGAGATGCCTGGATTATGACGTTTATTGTGACTGGTTTTAATAGAAGTAAGACAAAAGA